GATTTTGCATTACACGATGGGACAAAAAGTTGGAATAGAGGATCAAAAGGATACATGCCGTAAGGATTCCTGGAGCTAAACTGTAAGGGCCACGGGATGAGTAGAATGACACCACGGCTGGAATGGGTTTTCCTGTCTGAGTTTTTCCCTGTATTTTTTAAAATAATAATCACAAATATATTGATAATACACATATAATAATATAGGCGCTTGTAGATTTTATAGACATACATAAATTACCTTGTGGAACGAATGTGGAGAAGTTGCTTAGATCCAACTACATAATCTACTTGCACACTAGGAAAGTCAGCCTGATAAAAACAATCTAGATCAGACATTTTCTGTTGGGATATGACTCCCAAACCACCAGCTTCTTTCACCGTGGCCCGAATATCGGCAGCATACACCATATCTCCAAGGCTAAAACACAACACCACATTTCCAGCTAACCATTTATCATTTTTTGATAGGGATTCGCCATACCTATGATGTTTAATAAAGATCTATCAAGGAAATTGCTATAACAACTAACATTACACACAGGCAGTGTATAATAATGTTATGAACTTTTGTAAATATATTGGAAGTTTGGAACAATGTAAGTACTAAATACTGGATGTTATACCCATCGGAGTCGTCATAACCCAAGTTAACAAGACCTGTGTCATTCCCGGTGAACAATGCTTCACCCTACATTTATAAACTATTAGGAGATGAGAATTGAGAGGGATATCTTCCTACAGTTACTACATACTAATTCGGTAAATCCCATGCTCTGGTCATCTGTGTTTTGTACAAGACATTTGGAATTACTTTAACAACGCCAGGTAGATCTACACAAAATGAAAGTTGAATGCTAACTGAGATTAGCTTTAGCCGATTGAACTGGATTTTAAAAGGAGTATTATGGAGTTTTTACTACATGCAATGGTCTGAGCTCGTGACTTGGTCATCATGGCTGAAAACCCTGAGAAGTCATGCCTATATAATTTGGTGCAGTTAATTTCAAAAAATTATTTGATTGCCTTCCCGATCGAATTTTAAGCTGAAAGTTTTTGTGGATAAACTAGACTTCATGAGGAACATGCTCAAAATATTTCATCAAAAAATTCCACCAGGAACCGCCCCCAAATGGGGGTGTTCAGACGGCGGCTATTGTCCGAACTGCTGGACAAGAGCATCTCTCTCTCTCTCTCTCTCTCTATATATATATATATATATATATATATGTATATATATATATATACATGTTTTGGTTCAAATAAGAACATGATCTTAGAAGAGAAATAAGAACGAATTTGGACCGTTAGATTTGCTTTAAGTGAAATTCAATATGCATTAGATGAAACTGTAATGTGCATTAGGTGAAATTGAAATGTGCAGCACAAATGGTACGATATAGTGACATTATGTGAATCTGAATTGTGCATCAGGTGAAATTGAAATGTGCACTAGGTGAAACTGAAATGTGCTGAAATAAAAGGTACGATGTGAAGTTATTTCTGTACCTTTTATTTCGCACATTTTAATTTCACCTAATGCACACTTGAGTTTAATTTTTTATTCTGCACATTTCAATATCATCTGATTCACATTTCAGTTTCACCAAATGCACAATCCAGATCCACATAATACAATCCAACGGTCCAGATTCATTCTCATTTCTCTCCTGGGAGTCCGTTCTTACCAGAACCGCTCCCTATACACACACACACACACATATATATATATATATACACACACATATACATACACATATATATACATACATACACATATATATGTATATGTATATGTATACATACATATGTATATCTCTCTCTCTATATATATATACTCCCTCCGGTTCTCAAACAACTTCCCACTTTCCTTTTCGGGAAGTCCCGAAATTAACTTCACACTTCTTCTTATTTCTTTATTTGGCAAATTATCTACACCAAAACAGTGCAAAATAGTGTCCAAACAGTGCACTCCACGGTAAAGTCAAATTTATTTTCTTAATCTGTGTGAAGTCAAACTGTGAAGCTCTTTGAGAACCGGAGGGAGTATATATATATATACACACACACACACACTAAAGTTCCTGTCCGGCCAGGCCGGAGGAACTCCCTGTCCGGCCACCTCAATTTGAGGTGGTTCCGGTGGGGGGGGGGGGTATTTTTGGCTGAAATTTTTTGTGTATGTTCCTCATCAAGTCTAGTTCATCCATTCCAAATTTGAGCAAAAAATTCAATTGGGAAGGTAGTCAAATGATTTTTGCATGAAAACTGCGTTTTATATGTATATTCCGGATCAGTTTTCATGCAAAAATCATTTGACAACCTTCCCGATTGAATGTTTTACTCATATTTGGTATGGATGAACTAGACTTGATGAGGAACATACAAACAAAATTTCAGCCAAAAATATCCCCAGAACCACCTCAAATGGAGGTGGCCGGAGGAGCCTCCTGTCCGGCCTAGCCGGATAGGAAAAGTACTCTATATATATACACATAGAGAAATGATCCTGTCCAGCAGCCACCGGTCCAAACACCGTCTGAACATCGCCACTTGGGGCACTTCCCAGTAGAATTTTTTGATGAAATTTTTTGAGCATGTTTCTCATCAAGTTTATCCATACCAAATTTCAGCTCAAAATTCGATTGGGAAGGCAGTCAAATCATTTTTTGAAGTTGACTGCGTTTTTATATGTATATTTTGGCGCAGTCAACTTCGAAAACTGATTTGACTGTCTTTTCGATCGAATTTTGAGCTGAAATTTGGTATAGATAAACTAGACTTGATGAGAAACATGCTCTTCCTCTTTGTTTTTTTAACTTACTGGATTAACTTACTGGACAAACTAGACTCGGTATGGATAAACTTGACTTGATGGATTAACTTACACTTTACATACTTGGTTTTTTTAAGAGGCCAGGCCAACTTCCTCCTCTTTGTATTTTTTAACATCACTGTTTTTCGGCTTATAATGCAACTTTTTCATTAAACACTTAACTTTTTTTTTTCGCACGCTGAATTGTGTAATAAACAGAAAAAGTAAGGTTGGAGTTACTTTTCTGGTTGTGTTGGTTGAAGTTGCTGACCATTTTAGCTATTTTTACATATAATTTTTTCTTTATTTTATTAATAAAATATATTGTAAAAATATTTTTTTCTTAAATCAAAAGAATCAGCCAATGCAGCCATTTCAGTCAGAACTTCTTAAATTTTAGCAAAATCAGCCAAAACAGCCAATTTTCGTGCTACCAAACGGGTTCTAGATTTGCTCTCGTAAACGTATGAGGGGATATAAGGAGTGAATATAATTGGTCTATCAAAAATTTGCCACCAAATTGATCATTTGGAGCGAGTTAATCGTACATAATGAGTACAATAATTAGAAAATGATTTGGTTAATTATATAAAATGAAATATTATACTAGACAAAATTTTAATTTTATATGTGTGAAACACACAAATAAACAGATTCTTTAGAACATGCCACAACACAATCATATTAGAAAACAGATCAATATGCCTAGCAATTATTATGAAAGTAATTGACCTAAACAGGAGTAAAACATAACACTTTTCCCTAGTTAGGAGTAAACCCTTAATCTTCCCTTAATCTTCCCTAACAATTTTCTACCCTCGAGATCCTAATTCTAATTAATTAAGGGTAGATTCTATGGTACCCATAAGGTACCATACCTTTGTCCACATGGATCAATAAAAATGTAGCAGTTGAATTATTTAAAGGTAGATTCTATGGTACCCTTAAGGTATCATACCTTTGTCCACATGGACCAATCAGAATGATGTAGTTGAATTATTTAAATCTAAATTAAAAGTGATGTAATGATTTGAACCAATCAAGTGAGTGGTAGGTACGGTACCTCATTTTTTAAATGGGTACCGGAGTTGTCACCTTATTTAAATCTAAATAAAAATGATAAAGTAATGTGGTCCAATCAAATGAATGATAGGTACGGTACTCCATTTTTTAGAAAGGTACCGGAGTTGTCACCTTAATTAATTGCCCCTAGTTCCCTTGGGCAACCGAGTCAGTCCGACAGTGGTGGAGGCTGAGTTTCGGCAACTGGCGGTGGCGGTAGGCGGACTGAGAACTTTTTTTTGGATATTTTGGCACTGCCAGAGCTTTGGCAGACGGCGTCGGTGGAGATCGACAGCATGAATCCGATTGTCGGCGACGTCAGGTGGAGCGCGAATCTATGAATCAAAGATACTGAATCTTGCAGAGTTACACTCATCCTATTTTTCAATTGTCAATCAAATTAAGCTTAACAAACAACTTCAAGTGTGGATATACATTTAACAAATGAAGTATTTACTGCCATGCAAAGCACCGATGAAGTTTGTATAAAAGATGGGTTGAACTTAGAGTTCACAATTATTTTCACTTGTCAGCAAAGAGTTATCTCTTCTATGAATATTATTTCACAGATGACTTTCATACGGATTGCTTTGTGTGCCAACGAAATGGACTTAAACACGTCAGTAATAAAAACGAATGCAATTCACCCGTTGGCAGCTAGATTGGGACAACACAAACATTATTGTTCCCACTTCCCACAATAAGTGGGAGCAAAGCGAAGTTATATTTCCTAGGGTTGATGTAAGCACCATTCGATGAGGCATACGGGTGGAGCTGGGGGCTTCACGGTATTGGAATTCCTCTACCAAGAACTTAGTCAGGCTCCTCCAAAATTTTTCAGGGCATGAAACGTTTAATCGTGCAGAGATGATACTAACCACGGTTGAGGAGTCTAATGAACTTCCCCCAAGTATTTTCTGACAACTTCAATATGAAAGCGGAATAATGAACATTGTTAATCATATTGGTATAAACTAATTATGTAGGGCAAATTCGGGACATTATTAATCATATTAACATAGAGGGTTTTCATAAAAATATCACTGAAATTAATAAAATCTTATTTACACAGATGATTAAAGTTCCTAAAACAAAATTTAACATATTGATAGAGTCACTACAATCAAGAGGCCAACCTTTTACAAACCACGTTTATTGTAGTCATAAATATGTAATTTTTCATTAATATACATTAATGATGTAGGGGAATTGAAACAATGTAAACTAATTATCGTCATACATTATACTCCGTAATATTCTTCTCATGACATTCAGTCAATAACATTCACATTCAATCATATATTATTCATAACACTCCTCTGATGTATGTTGATGATGAGGGGGAAACAATGTACATTATTATGCATAACAAACTTTTCTTCTTATTATGATAGAGTGTTGACCGATATAGGAATTCGAACATTGTGGCAGCCATCATTCCAAGTTAAGCTCCCAAAGTAATATCCAGTATTGTAGCTATAACTCGTGGAAATGGTCACAACAAAAGTGATTTTCGTAACATTGGGAGTGAAAATCAGTGTATCTGGGTTTACTGAAACTCTGATTCCCCTTGGACGTTCAACTATAAGTTTGTATGAAGAATTTGTAGGTCCAACATTTGTCACCGTTCTTTTGAGAGTGACCGAGTGTTTAAGGTCTTGTATGGTAATGGAAGGGAAGTTCACATCCAGAATGGAAAACCCTTTAGGGCAGTTGATGGTTTGACCAGCAAGTTGACTAATGGCAGTGCTGTTGTATCCCATGGCACATAGGCAGTGGAGATAGTCAGTTGTTCCCATGTCATAGACGAGGCCGGGGTTTTGTGCTCTGTTGGGATGTATGATTCCTCCCCCATAGTCAAATGCATCTGCCAATTTAGTATTCGTTTCTCCTTCACTGAATATTGGTTCTCCAGAAGAAGGGTCGGTTGTCCATGCTACAAAATAAATTCTTCAATTCAAAAGTTTTTTTGAGACCAATGTTTAAAGATGTATATTAACCTATGTTGCTTCAGAACGTGAGAATCATGGAGAAAAAATAAACACCATCTTTTATTTGAAAAGTACTACATCCGTCCCTCAAAACTTTATCATCTTTGACTTTAGTGTAATTTTATGATAGTTATAAAGTTTATACTTTTATAAAAACATTTTCAATAAACAACATTTTATATCATAGATCAAAGCTTAATGTGACTGATCAAATAAATTAAGATGAATAAATTATAAGGAACAGAAGGACTACATGTTTGGAGAGTTTCTAAATGAGCAGAAACGTACTCTTTTCCGATAGTTTTTAAGTTCGATAAATATAAAAAATGTTAAAAACCTGTAGTGACAATTGCGGATTTGATAGCACTTGGAGACCATTTTGGGTGTGCAGCTTTGAGAAGGGCGACAATTCCAGCCACATGTGGTGTGGCCATAGATGTGCCAGAAAGGAAATCATATGCACTTGGCACAGCAGGATCTTCAGAAATATATGCTGCTAATATATTTGTTCCAGGAGCTGCTATATCTGGCTGTAATCAAGTTCATATATAGCAGTCATAATAATGTCAATGGTAATTATTGATTCCTCTATCCCATTAATACTTTTTAATAGTTATTTCATTCTTTTCAAGTTGGGACACTTCCATTTTTACAGTTCACACTTTACAACTCATAACTTTGACCATTAATACATTTAATCGCTATTAGTAAAAAATTTAAAAAATATCATATTCTAAAAGTTTAAAATGAGAGAATATAACAATATTTTTGAAAACTAAATTTGTAATACATGAATAAGTGAAACGTAGGCAATTTAGAGCATGTAAATAGTGTCAAGGTCTTACAATTACTTAAGAAAGGAGGTAGTATTTAGAATGGTATTATCTTATATTCTTATACATATACATTATATATATATATGTGTGTGTGTGTGTGTGTGTGTGTGTGTGTGTGTGTGTGTGTGCGCATGTGCATGTGCATGTCATGCATCAAAATGGTGCAGCACAACTAATGAAATAAAGGTCACATGCCGCAAAAGGATTCAACCTTAAGGATTTCTGGGGCTAAAGTGTTAGGGCCACGAGAAGAGTAGAATGAAATGGTACTTGAAATGGGCTTGCCAATTTGAGTTTTTGTTGGGTGTATTCGAACTCTCGGATTCCTGTAAAATTTTATTATAATAGCATTACTAATATTAATACCACATTCACAATAACAACGAAAAACACTATATACGGAGTATATATATCATGAAGTAATTAGCAATAAGCAAACATATTTGAATGATACTAAATGAATATCTATTGGTAAAAAAGGTATAGTTTTGAATGTTACTAAGTGCAATTATTATTATACGTAGTAATCTTGAGCTACTCTTAGTATCAGGTTAACCTTTTAGAATGGAACCTCAGGTGTTAACAAATATTCATAGGACCAAAAGTTAAACTAAAAATAGGAAAATGTAGATAACACTATTAGAAGGTTAAAAGTAGAAAACGTATAACTTTCTCACTAATATATTAACCAAAATAGTTGATGCATAATTTGTCATCATACCATTGACAAAAAAAAAGTTTTCAGAGACTTGAGCATGTGTATATATATATATATATATATATATATATATATGTATGTATGTATGTATATGTGTATGTATGTATGCATGTGTAGTATTTGTGTGTACAAAATGATGTACTAATGTACCTTGTGGAACGAATATGGAGAAGTATCTTAGATCCTACTACGTAATCTACTTGCACACTAGGGAAGTCACCCTTGTAAGAATATAGAGCAGACATTTTCTGTTGTGAAATAATAACTCCCGAAGCACCGGCTTCTTTCACGGTGGCCTGAATGTCTTCAGCATCAACAAAATCTCCATCCTCGCTAAAACACAATACCACATTTCCAGCTAACCATGTATCATTTTTTGATAGAGATTCACAATACCTATCATATATGCAGGCATGTTTAAGAATTAATACTAGGTATAATTAATGGTACATAACTTGAACAAAAAATATTATAACAAGATCTATTAATTATAAGTTTGCAGAAACAATATACCCGGAGTACTACGTTTATTACCTACGCATTTAATAAGAATAAATCATACCCGTCAAACTCTAAAGCATCATCAGGAGCGTCGTAAACCAAGTTAACAAGGCCTGTTTCGTTCCCGGTGAATAATGCTTCACCCTACAATAAGTTAATTACAATAGAAATTGATCAATATAGAATCAAAATATACACAAATCGCATGAATATGACTAAATATGTTTTATTCCTCAAATATGGCTTATTTAGATTTTAGACTTACTAACAAAAAAGTTGATAAAACTTCCCAAAATAAGAATGAATGAATCCTATTCCACGAGTAAAACAATGACAGTCCTATTCACGAACTTTACCATTGTTTTGGCATGTTTTTAGTTGGAGTTATTTCAGTCTCAGATACTAAGCAAATAAATGAAAATATATATTACCTCCGATCCATCACCTAAACGACCTTTAACATATTAGACATTTAAGTGGATGACCATAAACTTTGAGCAGTACTTCTGATTAATACATTTTTGTCAAAATTATTACTTTAATAGTGTTATGAAAATTACTAGCAAAGGATATTTTCATTTCACTTTGAATTATAAAAGATTTCCTACATAGATATATAGACAGTACAATTGGTCAAAGATTACAAAATTTCAAGGGGAAAGAAGGAATTAAAATTTTGTACGGATTTAGGTAGAAAATAATTTGGAATTACCATCAAGCTTTGACCATTCTCCAATGTGATTTGTGTAGGGAATGCTCTATCAGGAGTAGAAGCAGCAACTGTTAAAATCCAAGGCGCAGTACCAGACACGGTTTGACCATTGGGCCCTTGGTTACCCCCGGACTGGACAACGCTGATTCCATGCGCAACAGCATGGAAAGAGCCGAAGTTGAGCAAATCACGAGGGTCAATTTCGGCATTCAAAGGCACATTTCCCCCCGCAGAAATTGAAATAACATCAACTCCGTCATGAATGGCTTCATCAAAGCCCTTGAGAATGTCAGCATTTGTGCAACTTCCATCCTCCCAGCAAACCTTGTAAATGGCCAGATTGGCTCGAGGAGCGCCGCCCCTCAGGGTTCCGAATGCGAGCCCTTTGTAGCTGACGTTGTGAACCGGCGAGCCCGCCGCCGTGCTTGAAGTGTGAGTGCCATGGCCGTCTCCATCTTGCGGAGAAATGTGGTCTTCAATTCCTGTTGTATTTCCGGGCTGCCCTACCTCCGCCAGGTAGCCATTGATGAAATAGCGAGCCCCGATTAGTTTTCTATTGCATTTCTTCTTTGGGTCAAAATTTTCTCCCGATTGGCAGTAGCCTTTCCACTTTGAAGGGACTGGCCCAAAACCTTTATCATTGTAGGCCTCATTTTCTGGCGTCACACCTGCGCCCATGTAGGAAATTAATCAAATCTAAGGCTACCTATCATCACGTAGTACTACTTTCGTCCCAAAAATATTTTTTTTTATAAAATATTATTAAATTTGACGTAAATTTTCAAAAACTGATATTTTTAGATTTTTACTCATAGACAATAATATAAATATTAATAGTCAAAGTTATGTATTCATACAACAACAACAACATTCAAGCCTTAATCCCAAAAGAATTTGGAGTCGGCTAACATGAATCGATCTATGATATCGATGCCAAAAGTTATGTATTCATAAACGTGAAAAATGGGTTGTTGCATTTATCTAAAAATGAAGGAATATACTGTATGGAGTTCGATAAAAATTGATGAAACATAAATTCTAACTGAATGAAGCAGACTTATTTGGTACAGAGTAAAAATAAGGGCTTTTTACTTGAATATTACTAATTTAGAGCCAATTTCCAAAAATGTGACCACTTTTATAAAAGAACAAAAATGTGACCAAGAAGGTCATATATTTGGAAAAACATTGTCCGCCATATTTTTATGTCACTATTAAATTTTTATGTCACTGATTTTATGTCACTTTTGAATGTCACTGCCGGTTTTCGTGTCACTTTTAAATGTCACTACCGTTTTCATGTCACTTTTATATGTCACTTATGCCGTCAAATGTGTCGTTAACCATGTCACTATGCCGCCGTCGGCTACTTTTTCCGGTGAATATGACATCTACCGCCACCGATGAAACTGCCACAGTGACACGCCGACTCCGATCACTTTGCCCCATTCTTCCTCGGTCCCTCACAGCCCCGTTACCAGCCTACCCCGCCTTATCGTCGCTGCCGACCATCACCCCACCGGGGGGCTTGACTCCCCGGTCCCCAGTCACCTCCCAGGCCAATGCCACCGCCCAATGACCAACACCACTACCAACCAATCCCCATGTCCTAGCCACCGTCGCATTGACCCGACCGTCGAGGGTCGTCACTGCCAGTGACCACCACCAGCCAGCCACCCTTAGCCCCAACCTCCAGCCCCCACCACAGCTTCCCCAAAACCATGCCCAGTCCTTCCCTGCCCCAAGCGCAACCCCCTGCAATAGCCTCATCCCACCCCCACAACCCACTCTAGCCCCTGCAAATGCGGCATCCCACCACCACAACCTGCCTCCAAGCTGCCGCACCTAACCACCGCCCCAGACCTTACCCTCAATCCCCTCCCCCTGCCCCAGGCCCCTGCACTCACCCACTCTCCTATCCCCTGCCAGCACTCCTCAGCCCAACACCGCCCCCAATTACGTTTCTTCAGCACAACGTCACTCCCAATTGAGCCTCCGCAGTACAATGGCGCCCCCAATTGCGCCTCCGCAACACAAAGTCGAGCCCTTGAACCCTAAGTGTCAATAAACTCGTAGGTAGCCATCAGACACAGTCATTGACAAAACAGACTCGTCCATCGCAATACGTGATACAACGACGACCATGTAGGACAGATCTGCGTCGCTAGTCGATTTCAATTTCAACAATGAATGAGAAGAGGAGCGATGGAGACAACGAGGCGGCGGAGGACGGGACGAGAAATGAGAAGGAAAAGAAACGGCGGTGAGGTGCGGAGGTGTCGACGCGGATGGAGGTGGCGTTGGTGTCGACGGGCGGCGATGGAGGACTGAGTGCAGATGCGCGAGAAGAGAAAGCATAGCGCAAAACTGAAGCGGATCGAAGATGCGGGAGAAGAGAATGAGCTTAGGATTTAAATCAGATTTTTGTCCAAACAAAAAGTGGTCATATTTTTGTCCAAACAAAAAGTGGTCATATTTTTGTCCTATGAAACTCCACAAGTAATATTTGGGCCATTATTTCTAAAAATAATGACCGAAAATGTGAAATTAGAAATGTTCTACTCCCTCCGTCCCTAAATAAAAGCATCTGTTTCTTTTTCGGGTCGTCCCTAAACAAAACAGTGCAAAACAGTGCAAAACAGTGCCAAACAGTGTCCAAACAGTACCAATCAAATCCACTTTCTTAAGATGTGTGTAAAATGAATGAATACTTTTATATAGGGACAGAGGAGTAATAGAAACGCGAGAAGTGTGAATTATAAGACATCGAAGTTGACAACTTGAATGTCGGATTGAGTAATGAGTAACTTTTATATTAGCTCATTAATTTTTTATCCAAAAAGTTCAACTTTTCCTTCGAACAAGGTTCTACATATATGTGAATCGATTGTCTGGATTGATCAAATATTAGCTCAATACTTTTACATTGAAATGATCATACAAACATATCCCAAGTAAAATTGACACAATAATTTGAGATAGAACTGATGTTTCAAAAACCGGACCATATAGGTCGGGTCTATGTATAAACAATTCGAGTTTTTTCTCAAAATAATGCTAAAGAAAAACATTTACGAAATCGATGTCGAATTAAAAGTATTTCAAAAAATACTGCTTCAATAAACCAAAAAAACTGCCAATTCAATTGACGGTTCAAGCAAAACAAAGTACCACGTACCAACAGCACGCACACTAGAAGACCTATAGTAGAGGGCCAAACATCTATAATATCCCCTAATTTTTAAAAAGACTTATAATTTTTTTTATTCATATTTCGATTGTTATATGAAATATACTACTATCTTCCGTATCCCATTAATTGCAACATTGGAATATATACACTATTCATATACTTTACTTTGACTACATTTTATTTATTGATGTATGTGAATTATTTTTTTAAAAAAATATTGTTAAATTCATCTCATTACTAAGTTTTATAATCTGATTTTTATTTTATTTTTACTAATACATAATTAAATATAACGACGGTCAAAGTTGTGCATTGACAAACGTGAAATGTTGACTGTTGCAACTAAAAAGAGACGGAGGAAGTATGTATCAAAATTCATAACTTTTTTTATCTTTCATATGACACCAATATTGAATATACTCCGTCCCTACATAAAAACAAAAAAAAATAATTTTGCACTTTTAAAAAACTTATGCTTTTTAAAGAACTATTCCCTCCGTCCCTACATAAAAGCCCCCATTCGTTTTATACACAATTTAAGAAAGTGAGATTATTTGGCACTGTTTGGACAGTGTTAAGTTTGACATTGTTTTGCACTATTTTGCACTGTTTTGTTTTCCAAAAACAGAAAATAGAATTTTATTTAGGGACGGCCCAAAATGGAAAGGAGGATTTTTATTTAGGGACAGAGGGAGTATAGTTTTTTTATTTGTATTTCAGTTGTAATAAAAAAAATATCAGAATTCATAACTTTTATTTATACCAATATTGAATATATAAAAACAAAAAAGGGGAAAAATAATTAAAATACCCCAAACATTGAAGAGGTGTGATGTAAGCACCCTAAACTTGCATATGTAATTAAAATACCCTAAACTTTATATAAAAAGTTATTTTAGCACCATGGTCATGCATTATTTTTTAAAAAAATGTTAATTTTTTGTGTTAATTTCATAATTTAAATTATTTTAACATTCATGAAGATACAATAAACATTCTAAACTTCCATTGTAAAATAAATAGTACTACCCCCACTCTATATAATTGTAGCATTTTTTATTTGCTATTTTAAGCTATGCAATTAACACCATAAAATTACATTCTTGAAAGAAATAATATATGACCATGGTGGTAAAATAACTTTTTATATAAAGTTCAGAGTATTTAAATTAGGTATGAAAGTTTAGGGTGTATCTCACACCCTTTCAAAGTTTGATGTATTTTAATTACCCCACCCCTCACCCCCCAAAAAATAGCACTTTTAAAAAACAGAAGCTTTTTAAAGTGCTATAACTTTTTTATTTCTATTCCGATTGTTACAAAAAATATACTATCCTTCGTTCCATAAAAGTTGCAACAGTTTGACTTTCATGTTTGTCAACGCGCAACTTTGACTGTAATTATATTTATTTACGTATTAGTAAACATTAAAAAAAGTTAATATATTGGAAATTTACATTAATACAAATTTATTACTACCTTCGTCCCCCTGTTATTGTCCCGTTGCGGTTTATGATACTTGACTGACGATAAAGCAAACAGATCCCTGTCTGCACTTGAATTATTTTTAGAAAAAAAATTGCATATTCAGAAACTACATTAAAAGTTTTAGAAATTCGCAAAAACCAGAATCAAATTTGATAAAAATTTGATAAATAAAGTAAGAGATTAAGAGTGATTTGTCCTTGCCAAGTAAATAAGAAATGGGACAATAACAGCGGGACGGAAGGAGTAATATTTTATACATAATATTTTTATTATATATATTATTAGAAAATCGTAGTCAAAGTAAGGTGTGTGAATAGTACAAAAATTCCAATGTTGCAACTTTTATGGAACGGAGGAAGTATCAAACTTTATAATTTTTATATATTTTATATTACACGCACTAATATTGGGTATATACTAAATAAGTTATTAATCTTGATATATTTTTTGTAACAATCAGAGTACATATAAAAAACTTGTAACACTTCAAAAGGCGGGAGTTTTTTAAAAGTGCTATTTTTTTTTACATACCAAATATTAGTGTCATATGAAATATACAAAAATGTTGTGATTTTAGATAAAATTTTTGTGACAATCGTAGTACAAATCAAAAAGTTATAACACTTCAAGAAGTAGTTCTTTAAAAGTGATTAATTATTTTTTGTTTTTGTGTATCCGATATTGGAGTCATATAAAAGATAAACAAATTATGAGTTTTGATATATATTTTTATAAAAACCGGAAAACAAATCAAAAAGTTATAACATTTTAAAAAGCTTAGGTTTTTTAAAAGTGAAAAATTATTTTTGTGTGTTTATATATTCAATTGGTGTCACATGAAAGATAAAAAAAAGTT